ATTTAAGGTAAGAATTTTTTTTTGTGATTTAGAAGTATTTCTTTCAAAGAAAGTTTGCCGCGCGAGCGTTTGGGTGATGAAGACCATGATTGTTTTGCAATATATTACTTAATAAAGTAACTATTTAATAATAAATATACTTATTCATAACTAAAACATTAAGTTTTGAACAATTTTTAGCTCAATTTAGCTTTAGATAAATTAGGGGTTCACACATTGTGAAACCATAGTGCATGGTCTGTGACACTCAAAGCTCTACACTAGTGAAAATTATGAGAAAATGTGCAGAGAAAATGATATTTCCTTAATAAATAATCTCTGGCAACACATTTTTGCGTTTAGGTACTATTTGTTCGCAAGGCGTGTTGTGCAAGAAATGGCGGCGATTATAAATTCTGAATAAAATAGAGATTTTCTGTATTTTTGCGCTTTATAAATTGAAATAATATAAATGATTAAGTGCTTTGATGTGTGCACAATTAGAGTAAAGTTGGTAAGTCTAGTAATTTATTATAATTTTTCATTAAAGTATGTAGCTCACACATATAGCCATGGTAGATCGCCTTCAAAGCACATACAAAGACTCATAGTTTTGTTTTCTAATACTTCAAGAGTCAAATATTTTTTGAAAAAAGTAAACTTTGAGAATAGAAAATAGAGTATATAATCATATTAACAAAATACTTTGATAAATTTTGGGTAAGAATTGTGTGTTGCTATGCAGGTGTACATCTTTCAAGGCCAGTTTGCCGCGCTGCACACGCAATGCATTTTGGGTAATGGCGACCATGTTTGTTTTGTCATATATTACACTTTTGAGATATAAATAAAAAAATAACTATTCATAATAACATTTTATATTAATAAGTTAAATATCAAGTTATAAACAATATTGAGTTCAATTAAGCTTTAGATAAATTGACGGTATACACCATGCAAATCTAAAGCGCGCGACCAGCGATACTCAAAGCTTTTCAGCGAGCAGAAAATGTACTAAGTAAATTATATTTTCTCCTACTCAGTAATCGCCGTAATATTAATAATATTACAACAAAATTTGTCAATTTTTAAAACTGCCCTCTGGTTTTCAATTCGTGAATTATACCCGAATAATATTTATCGCGCTCAATTTCTTCCGAGAAATCGAATCAGGTACCACCACCGACCACCTTCTCCCTTCTCCTGCCTTGATCGACGTGCAGATTTAGTTATCGACCGGCCGTGGTGTGATACTGTTCGATCAATTATTTCTTGTGCTTTATACCCGTGAACATTAATTTGATCTATTAGCGCAAATAGTGAGTTTAATCATTGTGAAATTAGACAATGTTATAGTGAAGAATACTTCGTTGGATTTAAGGTAATTTTTTTTTGTTATTTAGATGTATTTCTTTCAAAGACTGCTTGCCGCGCGAGCGTTTGGGTGATGAAGACCATGATTGTATTGTAATATTTTACTTAAGAAAATAATTATTTATTCGTAAATCTACCTATTAATAACTAAAATATTAAGTTTTGAGCAATATTAAACTCAATTAAGCTTTAGTTAAATTAGAGGTTCACACATTGTGAAACTATAGCTCATGGCCTGCGACACTCAAAGCTCTACACTGGTGAAAATTATTAGAAAATGTACAGAGAAAATGGTATTTCCTTAATTATCCTTAATCTCTGGCAACATATTTTTGCGTTTATGTACGATTTGTTCGCAAGTTGTGTTCGTGCAAGAAATGGCAGCCATTATCAAGTTCTGAATAAAATAGAGATTTTCTGTATTATTGCGTTATATAAATCGAAATAATATAAGTTATTAAGAGTCAAATATTTTTTGAAAAAAGTAAACTTTGAGAATAGAAAATGGAGTATATAATCATATTAACAAAATACTTTGATAAATTTTGGGTAAGAATTGTGTGTTGCTATGCAGGTGTACTTCGTTCAAGGTCAGTTTGCCGCGCTGCACACGCTATGCATTTTGGGTTATGGAGACCATGTTTGTTTTGCAATATATTACACTTTTGTGATGGAAATAAAGTAACTATTTATTCATAAACTTTTCTATTAATAAATTAAATATCAAGTTTTAAACAATATTAAGCTCAATTAAGCTTTAGATAAATTGAGGGTACACACCATGCAAATCTAAAGCGCGCGACCAGCGATACTCAAAGCTTTTCAGCGGGCAGAAAATGTACTAAGAAAATTATAATTTTTCCTAATCAGTAATCACCGGCAACACTTTTTTGTGTTCAGAGAATAAAGAATCGAAAATTTTAATACAAGACAATAAACATTAATCCATTTTTATATTGATGATTTTCATATATTATATAAATTTCTATTTTTAAAATTAAATAATTAGACTTAGTTAAAACACTGGTTATTGAAAGTTTCCAGTGGCGTACTCAAAAAAAATTAGTATGGAAATTAATTAACAAAACTATCTAAAAACTGTTGAAATGTAAAATTTGAATTATTATATAATATGCGTAGTGCGCAAAAACTATTTTTGTTGTAAAACATTGCCAAATTAAAATGTCTGTGGTGTCAATATTCGAATAATTTTCAATATCATTAATAATACAAATTGCGTTATCAACATAATTTTTCTCAGAACATAAACATTTTCAGTTAATTACAAATCAACAATAAATCAAAATTATTATATTTTCTTTGTATATATAAGCAATAAACATTTCTCAATCATAGAAGCAATAAACAGCTTTCATATAAGGCAATAAGCATTACTCACCAAAATTTATTTAATTTCTAGTATGAGGAATAACCATCAAAACTATTTAAGAACAAAAACAATATAAAAGTATTATTCGAATAAGTATATAGTATTATTCGAATAAGTATGCCTAGTTTGCGAAAAAAATTTTTGTTGCAAGAAATTGCCAAATTAACATATCCCATAGAAAAAGAAAAAAAAATCATATATGGTAATAATCATTACTCACCAATGTTTATTGATTTTTTTTTTAACTAAATAAATAAACTTAATTAAAACACCGTCAATTAAATTCCTAATAAAGTAGATATTATTAGAGCAAATAAAATTGTAAGGTTTCCAGTGGCGTACTTAAAAAAATATAGTTTGGGAAATAATCAAGAAAACTATTTGAAAACAGTATAAAAGTAATATTCGTTAATTGTATGGTATGAGAAGTGCGTGAAAAATATTTTTATCTCATGGCATTAACAAATTGAATTATTGCAAATATTCGAAATTTTTATCTTAAAAACTTAATAAATAAACCCAATTAAAATGCCGTCAATTAAATCACTACTAAAGTAGATATTATTAGGGCAAATAAAAATAGGTTTCCAGCGGCGTACTTAAAAAAAACATAGTTTGGAGAATAATCAACAATTTTTGTTGTAAGGCATTAACAAATTCAAATTATAGACTGTGTTAACTTTTTTTGAAGGTACAATTTTTTTATTTATTTCATTATTTCTTTTATTTTTCACAATCTGTCTTTGCATAATGAAAGAAAGAGATTCAGTAATTTTGAGCCTTGTAGGTACTAAATAAAAATAATTTTTATTATAATACAATAATTTTTAGTTTTCTATGAATCAACAATGAATAAAACTGGTTAAGATATTTTTTTATAGAGAAGTAGTAACAAACATTGCTTACTGAAATTATTATTGATTTTTTGATTATATCGCTCCTCATTTTTTTTATTTCTATTTCTATTTCTACTGCATCATTATTCTTCGACTAAAAGCAAATCATGACACGTATTGAGCAATTTGGGGGTATATTCAAACAAAATGTCCATTATATAAACTGAAAGTATACATGGCAACAATTGCACATTCGATTCAAACGCAGGTGCCATATATCAGCCGACCTTGTAAATAAATCTACCGGCGGTCCGCCCGCCAAAGGGAGGAAGAGCGCTCTTAAAATCAGACTCACAATTAACTCTTTCTGTGAATATGTGAGCTGGGTTGTTTTTTTTTAATTTTATAAAAAAAAAAAATTGTGGAACGAGACAAATGTAATGAATAAGGACTAAAAATTCAAACTCGCGTTTCGGACAATTTGATATCAAGCAGTAGTAATACTCACTTTTATCCAAAAGTATGTTTCTAAGTTAAAATAGCCATTCACGACATTGCTGCTACCTTAAAAAATTTCTATTACTATGAAAAAAGTTCTATTAAAATTTATATAACAAATTTATATATCAAATTTATTTATCAAATATTGATAAGACAATAGAATTGCAATTGAGAAGGGTTATGCATGGAAAGTTTATATATTATATTACATTACGTTGTTTAGTCTTGCATTTGTACATATTGTGTAGAGCTTCGAACAGATAATTCAGTGATAACAAAAGTAATTAGTTTATCGCAATATCATATTCCTACAACATCGAAGGAACAAAAATTCTTGTATCACATGACACACTCGAAAAATAACATATCTAATTACTCCTGTTACAAAAATTTCCAATAATTAACTCCTGTTGGATTATATAACATTTTGTTAGATAATGCATTCATTTATTTTGATTACATATTATATAAATATATATAATAAAGGTGCTCTGCTCGAAGACAGGTCCATGGTGTGAGAACACCTCAAACCAATGATTTTCTTTAAAATAACAAATGAAGAAGTGTTGAGTAGGGTGGGACAAGGAAGAACTCTACTGGACACGATCCTGAAAAGGAAAGGAAACTGGTTTGGATCCATTCTGCAAAAAGAATGCCTCCTACATGTTGTCGTCGAAGGTAAAATAGAAGGAATGAAATTATTAAAAAAGAAAAATGTAGATGATTGACGACTTAAGCGAGAAAGAAAAATGCATAAAGAAAAAGGAAACTAGGTTGGACTTAGTCTGCAAAAATAACGTCTCCTACATGATGTCGTCGAAGGTAAAATAGAAGGAATAAAAAGATTAGGAAAAAGAAGAATGCAGATGATTGATGACTTACGCGAGAAGAGAAAATACAGGGAACTGAAGCCGAAGCACATGGCCAGGAAACATGAAGTAGAAGTTGGGAAAAGAAAATGCATAAAGGAAAAGGAAACTGGATTGGACTCAGTCTGCAAGAAGATTGCTTCCTACATGATGTCGTCGAAGGTAAAATAGAAGGAATAAAATTATTGAAAAAAAAGAAGAATGCAGATGATTGATGACTTACGCGAAAAGAGTAAATACAGGGAACTGAAGCCGAAGCACATGACCAGGAATCGTAAAAGCATAAGTTTGGAAAGGAAATTGGATTGGACTCAGTCTACAAAAAGAATGCCTCATGATGTCATCAAAAGTAAAATAGAAAGAATATAATGATTCAAAAAAAGAGGAATGTAGATGATTACATTGAAATACAGGGAACTGAAGTCGAAGCACATGGCCAGTAAACATGAATGGGAAAGAAAAATGCATAAAGGAAAAGGAAACTAGATTGGACTCAGTCTGCAAAGATAGTGCCTCCTACATGATGTCGTCGAAGATAAAATAGAAGGAATATACATATTGAGAAGAAGAATGTAGAAGATTGATGACTTACGCGAAAAGAGAAAATATAGAAAACAAAGTCGAAGCACATGATCAGAAAATATTAAAGCAGAAATTTGGAAAGGAAAATGCTTAAAAGTGATTAATGGTAAAAAATTGTAATGGAAAAAATAATCAAGGGAAGGAACTGTCAATCGGATAGTTATTCGTTATTATTCTTATATCATTATTATTATATTTATTATTGTTATTATTATTATGATATAATAAAATTAACTTTCCTTACGGCAATGTATACAAATCATTAAGTGATATTACAAAAATAACGTTTACTCCTAAAGCAATCTAAACCACTTGAAACTCAACAATAAGAAAACACATACTGTAATTCGAGAGTTTTACCATCTCATCGTGTGACTTGTAAATAAACAAACAGAATCTGGTTCTACTCTCAATATTCCTATGACAATATCCCATTCGTAATATCAGTATGTTAATCAACAATCCTCAGAGTTAAAAAAAACAAAACAAGCAGATTTATTAGGATCTAGCGTTGTGCGAGATTGCATCGGCAAGTTGGTACATTTACATATGATAACCGCTACACACTCGTTTATTCCCTTGCGTTTCATCTCCGAGGGAAAAGGATACGACAAAAGGCAGGAGGATGTAATTAAAAATATTTTTTCATTAGCATGAAATTCGGTTTAAAATTATTTACGACAGTCAGGCGAATCAATGTTGCATTAAAAAGTTAGCGGGTAGGTGTACACTAGGGAGCACGACCTACGAAGTTGGTCCGACCGCACTATGGAAATGACATTTTTTAGAGGAAACGGGAAACCATTCCCTGTTGATATATTTTTTTAAAACTTTTCATAATATTTTCCAGTTATGTGAACCCCATTAATAAATGCACAAATTTAAAATTCAACTAAATTATGTAAAGTGTTGTGCCTACTAAGAATATCCTTCGACTATTAATCTCCTATATCCACAAACGCACAAATTTAAAATTCGACTAAAGTATGTACTGTGTTGTGTCTACTAATAATTTCCTATATACTTCGACTATTGATTTCCTATATCCAGACAACCTCACATCGTGCAGCAGCGATATCCGTTTTCACTTGAAAATATAGTTTAAAAATATGTTTTTAATTGAAAATAGTCCATTTCGGGCACTGCGATGTGGAATGGCAATGGGAATTCTTTTACACTATTCTTTCCTGAAACGAGTTGAAGTTTAACTCAGCTCACGGACCTGCCCTAGGGTAGTACTACCCATTATTTTTTCTATTATCCTTCGAATTAGTAATTATACACAGATGAATTTTGTGATATTTTGATTAAAAACAAACATTTGGTATTTGTGTAAAAATAAAACTGATTTATTGCAATTTTAGTGGATTATCTTTTTTTTAATTTATGAACGGTCGTAAATTTATTAGCATTAGTAAATATGATTTATTACAAAAACTTTGGACATTGTGTAAAAATAAAAAGAAAATTGAAAATGTAGTGAATCTGTTTTTTTTTTAATTTGTACACCTTAATAATTAATAAATAATAATAGAGAAATAACTGAAATAATAATTTAGGATTTATTGAAATTATTAATTAGATATGTACATTGATTGATTTTTTAGTTTTATGATATTTTTACTGTTAACATTTTTATTAAAATTTTTACATTTTAACTCTAAATTTATCGAATCATCAAGTTATTTAAAAATTATAAACAATCACAATATTTATTAGTATTAGTACATAGGATTTATAAGAATTAGTAATTAATATGCGTACATAAATTTTCAAAAGTTCAGTAAAAATATCATGAAATTCAACAATCAATTAATGTACTAATCCAATTTCTAATGCTAATAAATCCTGTATTTTATTCTAAATATTTTTCTTATACCATTTATGATTGTCTACAAATTTAAGAAAATTTGATAATACATTTTCAAGAATTCTACTTTATTTTCACAACAATTCCAAAATTTTTATAATAAATCATATTTACTAATGCTAAAAAGTTTATGATTGTCTGTGATTAAAAAAAAAACATGATAATCTACTAATTATTTAAGAATTTTATTTTATTTGATTTACACAAGTTCTAATTTTTTGTTTGAAGTATTCTAATTCTGGCTCTACAAAAATATAATTATCATTTATGATCAAGTGCCCATAATTTTTTTTAATTAAATGATTCATTTTAATTTTGTAGTAATTTCTATATTGTAGTAGAAAATTATAAATAATTAATGTATGTATTAAATTACTGCTGCTTATAAATTTTCCGTATAAAATAAAATAAAACTCTTAAAAATTTGCTAAATCATTTTTTTTTTCAATTTTACAAAAAATTATAAAAAGTTACAAATATATTAATTTTAGTGAAAGGGATTTATAAAGAGTAGTAATTTAATACCACTGATACAAATACTAATAATACAAAAATTGTATGATAAAGTAGGAATTAGTAGAAAATTCAAATAAATCATTTAATTGTAAGTTTGTAAGTAGAAAATTCTAATAAATCATTTAAAATCATTATAAAAAAATTATAGGCACTTGATCATATGTCATAATTATATTTTTGTAGAGGCAGAATTAGAACAATATATGTTTAGAAACTATGATCAACTGACCAATCAGCGATCGCGGCATCGATATGGTATGATGCAGGTATAAAAATTCCTCGATCGCCGTCCCATCTAAACACATATACACATATGCATGCATGTATATATATACATATATGCCACACATGTGCCATTTTGTAACACGTGCCACACACACGCTTGCATGTATGTAAATAATTTTTGGTTCACAATACGGTCATTTACACAATGTTTATCAGAGGCATAAATTTCATTACAGTAAATTTTACATTTTTTTCTTTCATATTGTTGATTACAGAATTTATCTATTTATTATGTTCTTAAAAAAAGCGTGATGATTCGTAATTTATTCCAAAACATCTTAAATAATTATTTGGGCTTCACCGTGATCTAGTAGCTATGGTCTTTGATTATAAGATTCAAGCTTCGATACGTGTCTCGGATAACCTGATATCAAGCTGTAATAACAACTGTTTGTACTTGGAAATATTGATTGCAATATGTTTCAAAGTGAAAATAACCCTTACCCGACGTTTTCCTGATTTTCACATTTATTCTTAATTTTTTTTTTAATTGTCGTTCATTCGTAATTTGAGCTATAGTTTTTGATTAAGAGATTGCAGATTCGTGTAATAATATCGGTTTTTACTTGAAAATATAATAATCAAAAAATCTATTTACTGTCAAAAAACGTTTTTGTTTTTCATTTGTATATTCTGTTCAGAACACATAAAAATGAATCATAATTCAAGTGTTTCTATAAATTGGTATATGTAAAAGGTATAGATGTTGTTGGTTGGTGGGGCGTTGCGCAAAGGTCCAATTTGACTTTTAATAATTGTTTTTTCTAAACTAAATAAACATGTATCAAACAAATATTTCGCAGACTATGTTCAGCAAAAATTTCCATTTAACTCCTAATTGAAAAATGCTTTTTTACTATTTATTTTAAAACTAGCTACATGTCTCTTTTTGCCTCATGAGATCCAACGTTTTTTTTGGAGGGTTTTAAGAAATAATAGCTCAATTCAATTCAACCAATGTGAAATACAAATTTTATGGGAACAGTTTTTACAGAGCTTTCATTGTACATAACCATGATCTGTTATTTCAGAATTAGAATCATTCTCAATTTAATTTATCACTTGTAAAATTGCTTTTTTTTAACTTAATGTACTTATTTATTTACTATTTTTAATTGTTCACACTTTTGCCAATGTAAAAGTTTAGTTGGTCTTTTTTACCCTACCCACATGTAAGATTTTATAGAAGTTTTACAAAAACTGTTAAGTTTAACTTAAAAATAATAATATACATCTAACAATATAATTAATTAACGTGAACTTAAAAATTATATTAAGGTCTCGCAAACTGAACAACAGTGCTCACAACCAAATAAACCAACAATAAAAGAAAATCTTGGTACGCAACCTAGAAAAATTGTAACAAAATTAGAAATCTCATTTAAAATAATATAGATATGCAAACATTTTCATTTTAGATTTATTTGCGATTACTGTAACTTAACCTACGGGAAGGTAAAAAATTTGTAACTTTACTTGTTTTGAGGAGATATCAGTGGTGGAACTTTTTGCCCGTGGATCACTAAGACCGCTCTACATTTTTATGATATGATAATACATATTTAAATTTCATTCAAGCAAGTTTTAATAAAACTATGAATGATACTAAATCTATATTCTTGATCCTTTTTTTATCGTAAGCAATTGAGATTTTGACTTTATGTTGGTAGAAACTGCCAAGCGAATTTCTGTCCTCTGTACCGCTTAACGCGAAGATGTGTCGCGGACTAACACCGCGCAGTCTGATGAATTTCGTTAGAATATTAAAACATTAATAAATATTAAAGTGAATCGTCGGAAGGGTTGTCGCTGCGGTTCGTTGACAATATAATGCGTTCTTCCTTCGTGCCACAGAGCGAAAACTCAGCCCGAAAGACAAAATTATGGAGAACGGGAGCGAAGGTACGGC